TAGGGCAATAGCCTTCAGGATCTGAGGCTGAACGGATTCCTGTTAAGGAGTATCAAATCTTCAAAGGCACTAATAAGCCCATTACCTCCCGCACATGTGTCCACGGGTGCTCGGCAAAGGATGGCCGCATAGGCAGAATGATGGATTCTCAGGCTCTACGGGGCGGCTGGTAGAGTCAGCACATCTTCACTCCAATACACATCTCTGCTTCCTCAGGCTCATGTCCCACACTGCTAACTACAACACACGGCTAGCTTACATTCCAGCCCTACACAGCAAAATAAATAAATAAGTGTTACTTCTAAAAAATAAAAACCCTCTGGGGAAAAAGCATCCAGCTCCACCATGAAGATTTGGACATAATGAAAAGTTGGAGCAAAGTTCAGGTTTGTCTGATTTTCTCCTACACATATCTTTGAGCCTGCAGATTCAATATGGAAGTCACAGCTAGGATTTAAAGTAGAGTTTAAAAGCAGAGTGTAAAACCGAGGGCTTAGCACCAGAAAGTGAAAAATGAAGCCCTTCAGACATTCAGAAGAGTGCAATGGGGCCATGTCGCAGGCGAAACGTGAATTCCTATTGGTGGTGCATTGATGAAGAATCAGTGCAGTCGGTAAGCCACTGGAGATCTCTCACTGCTCGTATATGTGCGGAAGCGTAAGCGCCATCAGAGCTGTTGAAATGGATGACAAAGCTGGAGGGTTTTATGCACGAGTGGGTGTTAAGAAAGTTCTGGATTACTTCTTGCATTGTATTATTGTTTCTGCATTACATTGCACGCCCGTGGCACTGTTTGTACAGCTGCATCAGAAAGAAATAAAAACAGAGAGAACGAAAGCATGAGAGAGGCAAGAGAAAATGGCTGCCATTAGTTACAGTGCATATTAACTCTCCATAAATGAGGAAATAAGACCCAATGATTATCTGTTAGTCTACATTTTGGCAAGTTCGAGAATTCAGAGTTAATGAAACAAGACTCCAAGTGTGAGAGAATGATGGATATATAGTGAGAAAAAGCCAGAAGATGAAGAAGTGATTTTAGTCTACCAAAATGAGCAGAGGAGGATTGAGAAAAAAATAAAAAAAATAGGCAGGGGGAAGAAAGCGTGATATGTTGAAGGAAGACGCTGTATCCGCCCCAAGCGCAGCCATCTGTGTATGGATGTGTGAGGCTGGGAGCTCCACACCTGTGAGGGACTACTGGGAAACGGGAGTCTTCTCCAGTCCAGAAGCCACCTGGGCAGCAAAACAGGTGCTCGACCCAGACAATTAAACTATTACATAAACACAGGTCAACCAATCATAGGAGATTAAGAAACAATGACAGTAGCTCAACTCTTCTTTCTGACTTATTTTTCTGATTGTGCAAAATAAAAATAAAAAATTTTCTGAATGTACAAAACATCCTTGACTAAACTGTCTAAAATTAAGCATTATTGGAAAAGAATATTCTAGGTTCAGTACAAATTAGGCTAAGTTGACAGGATTTGATATATCTGTAATAAGGCTGATTAAATAATTTTGGCTTTTCCTTTTTAGATGATTTAAAAGCAGAAATGTCTGTGAAGCTTAAAATAATAATTTATAAAGGCACTTACATTTACTTAAGTATGCCATTATGTGGTCATGGTGACAAGGGTTTTTTTTTTCTCCTCACACTAAAGCCGCGTTTCCATTACCCTTCAAATTGCGCAAAATTGAAATTGCGAATTGAAAATACGCACAATGGAAACCCGTCAATTTCCCAAACTCCCGTTTATCGCAAAAAAAGTTTTTACGCTCGCATGAGGTGGTTTTTCAGGCAATTCGAAAAAAGGAATATTTCGCAAAATTGCAATGGAAACAGTTTTTGCGCATTTACAGTCACCTGACTTAGAAGGCGCGGTGTCTTTGGACAAAGTACGAGACAGAGTTCTTTATTAAATTCATAAAAGAACAAAGAATTACAGGAATACTTGATTCTAAACCTCAAAGAAATGCCACAATCAAGACCTCGGAGCAGAAATGAGGGAGAAACACAGAGAAACACCGCATATGTGCCATTCACAGTATAAGGGTCTTTCCTTGCTTGGATAACACGCCACGTCTCCTTCCATTAATAATAATAATGTCTAGTGCGGTGGCTCTGATATATATAAACCTACCAACGTCCTTTGCCATGATTTTTGGAATGACTTATCACGAGAGGAAAAAATTACGTTTTGGTCGCATTACATCGGTTAATGGAAACGCTGTCATTTCACTATAGTTTTTTATCGATATTTAGAAAAAATCACAAAAGTTTTGCGCAAATCTGCAATGTGTCTTGTGGCTATTATAAAGAAACAGAGTATTGCAATGTTAACACATTTGGTCCCATTCACTTCCATTGTAAGTGTCTCACTGTAACTCACTTTTTTTTTTTTTTTAAGAAAAGGAGGGACAAAGTGGAACTTTTTGTAATCAATTGTATTTTTAAATAACTGTATGCCACAAATGTTGTCAATTGATTTTAACTTGTATTGAACCCAGAATGTTTCTTTAAGTTCGAATAGTCAATGATAGAAATGTCAAAGAATTTTGAGAGATTATAACAGCTATTCAATACATTTGCAAAGCAACAGACTGGAATTATTAATATTCCATTACATGTACAACTCATTTAAATAAACGTGTGAAAAGCCTACCCTTTTGCATCCATGAGTAAACAGTTATCAGCCCAGTTTCTGCACCCTGAGTGCACTGTTTGATTATTATAGAATAGAACATGCTGCAGGAATCATGACTTAAAAGGAATTCACACTCTTGCATATTTCTTGCAAACATATTTTTTGCAAAGGACAGAGATTTGACTCATGAGTAATTGCACCATGGCAAAGTGAAGGAATTTGGGGTCATTTTCATCCCATTAATTTCTCATTCAGCATGTACTTTGGCTTTATGTCCAAACATTTCAAACTTCCACATAGTCCAGTTCAAAGAAAAAAAAAAGACCAGTGGTTTCGGAAGAAGTGAGTTTGGTCTCACAGGAATTAAACTTCAAGCAGACACCTTAACTTTCTCTCATCTGTGTGGGATGAAGCAAGTCTAGCCATTCTTTGATTTCTTCATCCAAAGAAAATACTTTTACAGTTTGTAACACACTAACTAAAATCTTCTTTAGATGTCTCTTCCAAATCGAATAATAAAAACTGCACACGAAACTGTCCACTTATACAAACAGTGGTGCATTATGTCTCTGTCCTGTCTACATAAACCCAGAAAACTGTACAGGTTATATTACCATGCTGTATTCATCACACGGGTGGATATTGTATTTGTGATCCGAAATAATTAGCTCGACTCATAATAATTGTAACGCAAGCAAGCCGGTGAGAAGCTTGAGTATTCCCTGTGTTGCTAAAAGAAAAAATGGATTGACTGAGGTAAAAGGAGAACGACATCAGCAAGGTGAGCATCTCCATGCAGCACGTCACCCCAGGGTGCTTCACTCTGAGCAAGACCTGACCTTCAGTGGGTGGGTGAGACACCGCTCTGTGCCCCTTTCTGATTGGGAACTCACAAGTTCAGCCATTTGCAAATGCCCGGAGGGTGGTTCTGGCCTCGGCGGCCCCTCAGCGCAAACTGCCCTTTTACCAAGAGGATGTGCTGACGCCACTCGTCTTCAGCCAGCAAGTTTGATCTTTACAAACAACCTGTCCTCATGGGGTGATGAAGTGTGGGCTTCTCGAAGAATAACGCTATGTATCCATTTCCCATGATTAATGACTAACGGCGGAGTAAATAATTGGATGCACGGGCCCCAGTGCCGCACTGTGATGATCTGATAAAGACAACAGAACGAGCTGCCATCCCTTCATTTAATTAGGGCAATAACAAGAGATTAGCTTGAGGCACTGTGTTCTACAACTCACATTCTAGATTATGTGTTCGGTGACAGGAAAACAATAGCAAAACCATTCCAGTGTTTGTGTTCCTTTGACTCACAGCACTGTACCGTCACCTGGGGAGAGGGGCAGGGGCGTCTATTAATTGCTTTCCAGTGCAAAACCCATCTGTTGAGAGGAGTAGCGGTGGGTAATGCCATCGGATCAAATGGCGGTTCCACACGGGTCCTTCTCCCACTGCGCAACGGTGGATCTAAAGAGATCGTCTGCCTGCCAATTGTGTGATGACCACTTTATATGCTGCACTCATTGATTCACATTAAGAGCCATCTCTCAGACAGTGCTCTGGTAAATTATTGAGAGAGTCTGCTGTCACAGTGTTCCTCTGCGCTACTGGGACCAAATTAAATTTGAAAATCCCATCCACGAGAGGAGAGGTGAGACTTTGTGGGAGAGTAGGCTGGGGGAACCGAGACGGGCCTTATTATGAGTGAATGAGAGAGGCTAATATATATATATATATTTTTTTTTTTATCAAATTAAATTAAATAAAAGCTTCACAGAAATAGATAATGGGAGGCTAAAAAAATATTTTAAGTACGACATTAGGCATGATCAGAGCACATTAAAAACAAGCAGGCACCGTCAAAATACGCACTTTGGTGGTGGGACTTGAAAGCAAAGGCGTCTGGTCTTGTAGTGGTGGTTGGTGTGCTTATTAACGTTTCAGAGAATGGCTGGCTGTCTGAAGTGTTAAAAAAAGGATTTCCTATCTATTAGAGCTTAGTAGACAGAGAGGAGGAGATGACGAGGCCAGGCTCAAAGTGACTGGTGAATACACTCATTTAGCCGGCTATGCTATCGGCTATGCTCATTTAACCAGAATTGGGGATCCATACGGACCGAAGGTTAAAAGACAGATTTCCAATTAGCACTCCCAATTAGCACTCCTAAAGAAATCCTCCAAGATTGCTACATGCAGACAGGAAAATTAGGTTTAACTTTTCATTTCACAGTGAAAGGGTTGTCGGAGGAGGCTAAAATGAGTGTTGGTGTTTCAGGTTCCTCATCAGAATCGGGTTGAGGAAAGAGAGACTGGAATGTTAGTGTGGGAGGAATGACTGACTGACTGACCTGACTGGGTTGCTGGTCAAGGACACACGCAGGGACTCCAGGCAGATGAGCAGTTTGTCTTCGGAGATGCCCGAGCGCAGCTCATGCACGTACTCTTGTGACGATAGCGTAGACTCGTGCTTGCTGTTCCTCAGTCCACCCTGTGGGAACGAGACACATTAAGGGATCAGCCACTGCACCGCTGCACTTTACACCCAGTTAGGCCTGTCACATGTTAATTACAACATCTGTATTAGACTTGATCATCACTGGAGTTCATGAAGCTTACTAAGAACGAACGATCTCTCTGCTTCTACTTGCAAACTTATTAAAGAGAAAGAAAAAAAAATATTTATACTGACAGTAAATGAGCAAAAGCATAGGATTTTTTCTGAAGTGAGTCCATTCTCATCATCTGACAACAGGCAGAAAATAGTAGGAGGGGGAAGTAGTTACCAACACCCGATTTGTGGATGAGGCTGCACCCCTGTGCTGCCAGCTGTATCCCAGTCTCCAGCAGGTGAGAATGATTACTAACACTCCATAACTGCAGACTCACTTCCTCCCTAAATCAGCAGACTGCCCACCCACAGCACTGACTGACACAGAGCTACCAGCTAGACTAGTCAGCAGGAGCTGCCTCATGCTAATTCTACAGTAGACAGAGTAATGGGAAAAGCTCCCACACACAAAATAAAAACAACAGCATAAAAGTGCTGATTAAAATATTATATTTTGGAGCTGATATAGAGAGAAACTTTTGTTGAGCTTCAGGCATTCATTGACTACGTTCACACAGTTGCAGCAGAATACAGCTGCCGGTCATGTTCAGGGAACTAAATATGGTTCACTTCATATAAGTTCATACACAGTTCTTTTAGAATACTAGCCTTATAAAACGTCCCATAATAATTAATTGGAATTAACTGCATTTGTGAAATGTGCTCATGACATGGTAAAAATGGACCAGTGGATATAATTTGCACATAGGCTAAATTAATTGTGACACTGCAAGGCATTTTTTGATTATATTTTGATTAAGAGATGTAAAACTGCAGACGCTGTGTCCAATCAAAGATTAAGCATATTACACTGAAAAGAGAAAAGCCTAATTTGAAAATGATATTATTAGTGTAAGTGAACACATCTGTTCCTAAATATCCAAAGCATTCCTTATAGTAATGTGACCTCTTTAATTACTATTCACATTACAATAACCTGAATCAATATGTAAATGAAACGAAAGTAATGGGTAACATTAAAACAAAAACATAAAATTAAAAATAAAATTAAAACAAATAATCATAAAATTAATTAAACAATAAAATAAAATAATTTTGATAAATATTATATTTATTATGTAGTTGACATTACTCAACATTATTAGGAGAAGAAAATGGCTAGTTATTCTCACCAAAAAGGTTATTCTCGTATTTGATCCACTCATCATGTATGTTGCTGTATTCACAGGACAATTTTGTGTAAACAAACTCTCTCATTCACTGCAGTAATACATGCTCTACCCACAATCCCTCACTTATGAGAGGTATACAGACAGTAAACATACACATGCTACTTTTTTTTTTTTACATCCTTTACTTTGTGATTAAACTGTTCGCTTTACACAAAAAAGTGCCTTTAAACAAACACAGGTGTATAAAATAAAACATTATGAACAGGTAACAGATCAAATACTAAAAACAAATCAATTTAGTGAGTGATGGGAACTCTTGCCATCCCGTTCTACCTATATAACCAGGCCTAGGTGGATTTATTTATGACGTCCGTGCATACAAAAATCAATTTCTGTGCAAGCTGCCAAGTTCGTGGTTTTTTGTGACTACTTTCTTTACTCTCATGTGTTAGACAGACGGAGTGAAGATTGTCAATCTGTTACCTGCACTGCACCCCTTGGGCAAAAGAATTGAAAGCGTGCCACACTACTGCTTTCCACTTTTTTATACAGCACATCATTCTTATTCTTGTCATTTTACTTAGGTTTATTTTATTTTTATATATTTTTATTTTTTCACAGTTGTGTTCTCTCTTATCCAAGTCATCCATGTGTTTCTTTTTCTTTTGTAGCTGATGTTTTCCATCTGTATGTTCTGAAAACAACAACCTGCCAAACGAGGCAGAGGAAAAAGAAGAGGGCGACGGAGCGCAGGGTGGGCTGTCAAAGTCACCCATGTAGACGGAGGGATGAATTAATGCAGACAGAGAAGTATGTAGGGTAGTATGGAGCGAGTATTAGAGGTTTCTTCCCTGGTACGAATGCGCTTTAATGTCGTCGTCCCAGGATGTGGCTTCCCCAGCAGGCAAGCTGCACTAATAGGCAGTCTTGGAGGAATAAACAGGGCATCTTTGTGAAGAGTCCCATTTCTGCTCTGTTGAGGCGCAGTGAAGAAACTTCGACACGGGCAGCAGCGCTGGTTTATATAGCAACAGGAAAATAAATGAGCCATTACTATAGGCAAGTAGGGGGTTGCGATGGGGAGACAATGTAAGTGTCGAGTCTGCAGAACGAGTAAACATGGCAGACAGCGCAGTGATTTACTCGGGAGCGATCAGCAGGTGTTAGTATAGCTTGTTTTCATATGACGTCACGCCACTGCGTTGCCATGGCACGAAATGCAAATGGAGGGCAGGAAGTGATTTGCTGTATTTAGAAAGCACTATAACAAACTCAAAATGCCTATGTTTTGCGTCGTTTGTGGTTACTTAATTCGATCAAACCACAAGGAATTTTTATCGTGTACCAAAAGTTGTTGTTCATAAGGGGGGAAAATGCAAGAAATTGACCGAAAAACTCGGAGGAGCCGAATGGGAAAATGCCCGTGTGTGCAGTGATCACTTCGTCAAAGGTGAGTTAATACAACTTAAGTGGCTATGTTTGAGTAACGTGTAACGTTTCCGAACTTTGTAAAGTCAAAGAATGTCTGTAAGACGAGGTAGTTGCTGATATCTACCGCCTCGATGGCAGGAAAATCTTCCAATTTAGTTGAAAAATCGCTCCTCTTCATAACGTAAGGATCACGTCCAACACATGTTTGATTTTTTGTTTATATCTTTCTCTTGTAATAGCGTGTAAAGTAGTACAGTACGGACTTTCCTCCATCTCGTCCATTGCGCTCTTCACTCCCTGCCCTCCATCTGAATTTAGCGCGTCATCATAATCACGTGACTGAAACCCAGCTATTAGGTTTTTAAAGCAGTTGGGTGGGCGGTGGTTTAGAACGACATGACGGGTTGTTGCAATAAAAATGACCTTGATGTTGACTGGCAGCTGTGAATCTGCACTGACCTTGTGTATCCTGGTACCATCATTTGTGTGAATAAGATGTTCAATAAGAAGCCGTACGCTGCAGAGTGCTTGCATGCCTTTTTAAAAGAAGTGAGATCTAACTCACTAAACTCATGCGAAATCAGTCCATTTTAGGCTCTCTTTCTCGGAGGATAAGAATGACTCTTTTTTTTTCGCAAACACATCTGAGACACTCAGGTTGAAGCGATTCAGCTTTCTTCTCAGGCAGGTCCTCATGCTTGAATTTGTCTTGATCTGGATCCAACTAAAGATCACTCAGTTCATCTGCCTCTATAGTTCAGATGAGGGAAACCGAGGGACCAGATATGACTGGTGTGCTTATACCTGTCTGATAGAAGTAATGGGGTGTGTGCGAGAGAGGTTATTACTTCCCTCATTACTGTCTCTAGTAACTGTACTTGCCCCTGGCTCTTTCCAGACCTGCTGTAGACAGCTACCTCAAATTCACTAAACCACAGGCAGAGCCAATCTGTCTCACTATGAGAGGAACCAAATGACGACTGTGCAACTATGACTATCTTTATATATTCAGAATATCCTTGGGTTGGAAAAGTATAAGACATCTGTAACTTTCTATTTTGCAAAGCATGTACTTCTCATACTTATTGTTAAGGATTTGTGCAAATCCATAAAAAAAGTAATATACTTTGGTATATTACTCATTCTGGATGCAATATATATATATATATATATATATATTCTGGCAGGTGTTTTTGTTTGTTTGTTTGTTTGTTTGTTTTACATTTTATTACTGATAACAAATAAATGGCCCAAATTTTTAATTCTATACTATTTTGTGTAAACTGAAAACACGACTAAAAACTAAAATCAATCATTCTAAATACTTCAAGTGAAGTAGTCTGTTTATTCAATCACAAGAAAACACACAACGCAGACAACAACCAGTTACATATGCACAATTAAATATCTAACCAATCTGTAATATCGGCCAATAACCTAAAATAGTACCATTATATCATGCATATACAAATGATAAAATAAAAAAAAATGACACATCATAGCAGTGGCCTAAACACCACCCAGAACACCTTAGCAACCACATGGCATTGGCATCAGCCCTGGGCATCCACAACACCCTATAGCATTATGGCAGCAAGTTTACATGGACAAACACCGCTCTAATATTTAGTGTGAATATGCTGAAACATGCTGAATCTCAAGCATTCTGAGTATTGTGAACAGATCAAGTTTGCTACAACAATAAATAATGAAAAGCAGGGGTGAAAGTGCTCTCTGGATTTCTTTCCTTCCCAAAAACAGGCAGAACCCTCAATCTAACCCACTCTAGAAAGAGAGTTTCTGGTTTCACTATCCATTGACCTTTACCACTGGAAACCAAAGACAGGACATAATATGCTGCTTAATGACCCTGGCCAGCTCAATCCGTTGGGATGATATCAACATTACACCAGACCACACTAATCATGCAGACAGCCACATCTACTGGTTCACTGTAATTGGGTTTCTGTTGTTGGCTGGAAAGAACATGGGGGAATGGTCTGTGTGCGGGTCTAAAGAAACTCTTGAGGAAAAGCACATACTAGGGAGGGGGGGAGGAAAAAGCACATAGAAAGTGGAGAGACCAAAAAAAGAGAGAGAAAGAGATAAGGAGGAGAGACCAACCAGCAGATGGATTGAGTGCTGGAGAGATAAAGAGAAGAAAAAAATATAGACTTGGAAAGAGTGGACAGAGAATCAGGGCTCAGTGAAAAGACCAATACAGTCCTTTGACCAAGCTCAAAGTGTTCATCTCCGAGTCTTATTGAATCCGTATTTGTCAATAACAGTATTTCCTGCCAGAAACAATAGTGCAGG